GCTTAAACCAGGCTCGAAGTACTGTGTCATGAAGCAGTGGCCACTGCCTCGTGAACAAGTACTTGCGATCGACAAGTTCTTTGCCGATCGTTTAGCAGCGGGCCATGTGAGGGAATCAACTTCCCCACATAGCTCTCCGACCTTCTGTGTGCGAAAAGCAACAGGAGGGTGGCGGATAGTGCACGCGTTTAACAAATTGAACGCTGCAACGGTACCGGCTCAGACGCCGATACCGAGGAAGGACGTAATCATTGATGGTATGTCAAAGAGTACCATCTTTTCGTCCATGGATTTGATGGATGGCTTCTATCAAATCCTAATGCGGGAACGGGATATACCCTATACCGCAGTTAGCACGCCTAGCGGCATGCTCTGGGAATGGCTAGTAATGCCACAAGGGCTCAGTAATGCCCCTGCCACGTTCAACAGGTGTGTATCACATCTGTTGAGGCCAGTACGAGAATTCGCGCCGAGTTATTTCGATGACGTATTCATCCATAGTCGAGCTATGGATGGAAAGTCGGACGTTGAGGTTCACAAGTACCACGTCCGACAAGTTCTTACAATCATGCGAAAGCATCAATTGTATGCAAACCTCAAGAAGTGTATATTTGCAGCAAGCGAAATACCACTTCTTGGGTGCATCGTTGGTAAGAACGGTGTACGTCCTGATCCCGAAAAGATCAAGGCGATCACCGACTGGCCCGTGCCGGTCGATGTCAAAGGTCTTCGAAAATTCCTTGGGCTAGCGGCGTATTTGCATAAGTATTCACGCAATTACGCCGAGATGACTGTACACCTCTCTCGTTTGTTGAAAAAGAACGAGAGGTGGTTATGGAACGCTGAATGTCAACGCTCCTTTGAGGGTATCAAGCAGAGCTTGATACAATCCCCAGTCCTAGCAATAGCCGATCAGGACAGGCCATTTCATGTGGTCTGTGATGCCAGCGATTTCGCAATCGGCTGTGCATTAATGCAGTACGACCTTGAAGGCGTTGAACGCGTCGTCTGCTATCAGTCGCGTCAGCTGCAACCAGCTGAGCGGAACTATCCAGTGCATGACAAGGAACTCCTTGCCATGAAGTATGCACTCGCGAAGTTCAGAGTCTATCTATTAGGAGATAGACCCTTCGTTGTTTACACTGACCATGCGTCCTTACGCACGGCAGTGAACAGCCCGCACCTTTCACAACGAATGGCGCGGTGGTTGTCATTCTTTGCAGAATACAACTTTACGGCCGAGTACAAACCAGGACGACTTAATGTCGTCGCTGATGCACTCTCACGTCGTCCCGACTTTGAAACAGTCGCGAAACCCAACAGTGAGACAGTCACTGTTGCGGTTATGACGTCCTCAGTTCCATCTACAACGTTGTATGATGATGTGAGGCGGGCATACGCCCAAGATGGTGAGATAGTGAAGTTGTTGTCACATCTCTCCCAACCATCCCGAGAATCGTTGAAACGATTGTCGTCTGCGTATCGATCTGCATCAGATCGATACACTACTCGTAACGGTTTACTGTACTATACAGCCGTTTCTGGTGACACACCACGTGTTGTCATTCCAGATGATATTGATCTGCATTTGCGGATCATGTTCGAGTATCACGATGCTCCTATAGGAGGACATCGTGGCCGAGAGAAAACATATCTCACGGTAAGTCGAGACTTTTACTGGCCCCGCCAGTATCAGTTTGTGCGAAAGTATGTTCGCGCATGCGAAGTCTGCCAACGAGTGAAGTCAAGTCCTTCACTGCGTGCACCTTTACAGCCTCTACCGGTTCCGGCTGAGTGCTGGGAATCCATCTCAATGGATTTCGTCTTCGGGTTACCCAAAGACGCACGCGGGAATACGGGTATTCTCGTATTTGTTGACAGATTCAGCAAAATGGTACACCTTGTGGCTGTACCAGAGACAATCACGGCAAGTGGCTGTGCTTGTGTCTTTATTGACACCATCTTCCGACTTCATGGGTTGCCCCGTGAACTCGTATCAGACAGAGATCCACGATTCACTGCTGATTTCTGGCGTTCCGTGTTCAAATCACTCGGAACGCGCTTGAAGATGTCAACATCTGATCATCCAGAGTCAGATGGTCAGACGGAACGTGCCAATCGTGTCCTTGAAGAGATACTTCGAGGATACGTACACTCCTTTAAGAGTTGGAGTGAGTTTTTGCCGATGGTAGAGTTTGCCATCAACAACTCGGTGCATGCGTCCACGACACATACACCGTTTTACGTGAATGGCTTGCGCCATCCGCGTGTACCCACCTTACTAGAGTGTAACTCTGGTTTAAGGGGGGAGGGACTCGCGCGAGCAAAAACCGAATTGGTTCACGCTCATCACGCTCTGACGAAGAAGTCATTGCGTTTGATGCCGATATCGATAACATCGATATCGAAGAAGATGATGCCAGTGAGAGTGCGGAAGCCCTCACTGAAGACAATGATCCCAGTGAGAGTGCGGAAGCCCTCACTGAAGAAAAGGTTGTTGTCGCTGCAGTGCGCTCACAGCACACTGAAGCTAACGAGTCATCAGATGAGTTCATACTGGCTCGTGAAACGGTAGTCCGTTTTGTGCAAGACTCCATCGCCGAAGCGGTGGATAAGCAAAAAGCAAAACGCTGACAAGAATGGAAGGGCAAACACTCTTTTATTTAATAAAGGTGACTTAGTCCTACTGTCTACGGTTAATCTACCAAAACATGTAGTGACTAACTTGGGTAGCAGTAAACTACTACCCAAGTACATCGGCCCATTTCGTGTATTGCACCGCCTAGGCAATGCATACACGATCGAGTTACCACGTAAGATGCGAACGCATCCCACGTTTTACGTTGGTCGGCTTAAGCCGTACCATCAGTACGCTGCTTCTTCCGATGAAGAACGCCCTTGCGCTCAAGCATCTCGCAGAGAGCCTTGTGCTCCCGATGGTGGGCATCAACAAGGGTCTGAAGAGCAGTTATCTCAGCCCGAGACCGATCAACAATCCCACGAGCTACCCTTAGCTCGTCACGAAGAGATGTCAGAGATCTCTCGTTCTCAAGCTGAGCAAAGGCAAACTCAGCTCGATGCTTCGAGGCAGTGTCCACCATCTGGAGACGCCTATTCCGCTCATGCTCGAGATCGTCGCGTAACCCTTGCGTTACGCGATCAAAGAAGCTCTCGGGAACACACCGATCCACATGATCGTGTGGAGAGCGTCTTTCCTCCTCCTCCACCTCCATTAGAGGACTCTCGCGGTGGCCAGCGCTATCTAGTTGAGCAGCTGTTGAACCACCGCGACGTGAACGGACGTCGGACGAGTTACCTCGTCCGGTGGCGCGGCTATCCCCCGTCCTGGGATTCTTGGGAGCCCCGCTCCCAATTGATGGTTGACGTACTGGGTCTGGTCGAGCAGTACGACGCGACACATCCTGTGCCGCAGAAGGACCGCCGGAGAAAGTCTTCCCGGCACGGTCGTAAAGGGATTTCAGGTTGTCAATCCCTTCGTACATCTCAGTAGAGACACGTACGCGCCACCACGGGCTGGTAAGGAGGTAAGCCTCCTTAGGTGCTCGTGCAGAGTTGTTCACACAACATGGGCACGAGTCTCCCCAAGAGAGGCAGGGTAATCCTTTCTCCCTTGACAGACGATGCAGCTTATAGCGTGCACCTGTCGGGGTTCGCTTTTCAAACTTATCACGAGCTTTGATAAGTTTGTCGTTCCAAGCGTCACGACCTACATCCTCGAGATTATGGATGTAGGCGTTCCACGCCTGAAGTAGTGAGGGACCATCACGTTTGTGATTCCCACTGTACCATCGATGTCTGAAGAAAGCATCGATGAAGAACTCATGTTCAGCGCGATAGTCTTTCGCGCTGGGGTCAAGGTGATGAATCCTCGACGAATCGAACAATCGTGTTCGATAACGATCACTCGTCGTCGCCGACAAGTGATCCATGACAGATTTAGGAGGCATCCATGCCTTCTTTTCTGGAGCGAGACGCAACACATTGCGGTCCCGCTCTTCCTGCGACGTGCCGACAGAAGTACTGGCACCTCGCTGTGAAGTGGTGTCCATTGGAGAAACGACACCACTATTAGCGCCCGAGTCTCGCGACCTCGAGCGCCTTCGCTTCGGCGATGGTTCATCTGACTCATCAGATGAACCAAAGATGCTGCGACGCAAAGCATCGTCCATGCCACGCTTGGCAGGCGGCTTGGATTCAATTGCCGTCGATACGGATCCGTCATCCGTATCAGGAGAGTACGAGACACCGAGCTCGTACTCTGTGAAGACACGAGTGTCTTCATGACCAGCGCCTGCATCACCAGGTGATACAGGCTGAGTCGATTCAGCAACCGATGGGACATCAGTTGCTGTTGTTTATGCTTCGGCGTCCGCACAGAGACGTGCAGACGCGCTCTCGGCGGCCTCGTTCGCGCATCGCATGGGCTTGTTTACCATGCTATGAGATGTTGGAAAGTGGACGCGGACCAACAAGTGCAAACCCCGTCCCAAATGATTTGGGACGAGTATCCATTTAGTCAATCAGTCACTAAAGTGACTGATGGTTAAGGGGGGGGTGATGTAACGGGGTGAATCGTTACATAACAATTTATAAGAAATTGTTAATAGAATATAACTATAAGAGTTATATTCTCAGAATATTGTCATAAGGACAATATTCTGTAGCACTTCCAAGTAGTTCCTAATTGGTTGATATAGGCCATTATATCAACCAACGAAGACGCGCCACGACAGACGCACGCAATGAGTGGTGAGCAGATAACTGATTTACACATTTGTATTTAGACATAGTTAGATGAAGATAAATAGTGATTTATTGCAGACATTAACTATACTAAATACAGTTCTACTTTTTACTCTAACCGAGTACTCGCTTCTTCTTACCGTCTTCCTCTGCACGTACGAGTGTACGTGAAGTTACGAGGCACCGCCTTATTCTGTCATCAGAATAAGTAGCTTGTACTGTCACCAGTACAAGCTTCAGGGTGCCCCGTTACAAGGCGGGTTGAACCCAGCAAAAAGCAGGAACATGACGTTAAAGAGGACGCCCACAACGGCATCGATTTTGTCACTGGAGAGCAAGTAGACGAGCAGCTGGCCCAGGAGCGTCTGCATGAGCACGGAGAGGGAAATGTTGAGCCAGATTAGCACAGCCATGCTGAAGAAGCAGATGCCGAGAAAAGGGAAGAAGACAGTGGTGAAGAGAAGACTGCTGCCAAAGACATAGGGGATCTCGACGATCGTGATGTCGAGGAAGTATCAGATAGTGTTGTACGTCTGCGCGTCGTACACGTGGTAGTTGATAACTCGTTTCCTGCAGGGTGAAGAGAAGACAAGCAACGTACGTCACGTATCCTTGATACAGTGTTGTCATGAAATTGATACATACGGCTGAGTTCAGTCCTTGGTTATGTTGAGTAGTCGGCGTTGACGAGCACGAGGCCGAAGATGATGGCCAGGATAAGCGCGAACCAACACTGAGTCCAGTCGTACGATGGTGTTCGCCAGTACATTCACTGGAATCGCTGCATGATCAATCAGAGTTGCATCCAGGAAGTAGCAGCTCGCTTGTGCTGGAACACTAGCTTCAGTAGACTACCGGGTGCAGGTGTCGTCACACCAGCTTCAGCTAGACGAGTCAGCAACTTTCAATGCTCCAGAGATAAATTTGAACATTGGTTGGTAATCTTCCAGTTAGAAATGTTCAACCCGTCCCTAAGCCTCAGCACTAAATCCAGTCCATGGAAGCTCTTTAATCTCCGCACCTCTGACCTTTTATATATAGCATAATATAGATGAATTTAGCTATTTAGCTAATTAGCGGTTCGCAAAAACGCTCGACCCCGTTTGCAGTACGGAATAGCAAAATTCAAAGTACGGAAAAGCCTCGCCCTATTGTTTCGCACATCTTTCGTTGCGGACTCATGAATTGCACCCTCAAGAATTCGCAATCGCGCTGATCAGAAGATGCAGCCGACAAACTTGAAATTGCTGAAATGCATCCTCGTCAAAATAAGCAGATTCGTTTCGACCATAGGGTCAATGGCTGAGTCACGAGCACATGCCGGTTACTCATATCTCACTTGCTACGTTCTTGGCACATCACTTGCCGACACTGCATCTACTAGTCGCCGCCAATAGCACCGAAGCACAAATGATCGCTACGACCACCTGTGATGCAGCATACGAAGTTTAAGCTCAGGCAAGCATTGTATTAACGCAGAGAATAGATGTTTCATTTGGGCCAGCCTAGCACCAACATCGATCATAAATACCCTAATTTTAAATTGAACGTTATAAGTGAACACACAAAGCTTCATGCGGGCTAATTTTATTAGCAATAACGAGTACACGTATTCACTTGCAACTAAAGTCGGTCGTCGACAGTAGGCGTGGCGATTACAGGTCGACCTGTCGTTGTATCGCAAATCTCAGAGCGTAGCAGCGACTGTGAACATCAATCTCGTCTTTTCCAAAGCGTGTGATCAAATTGTCATGTCGAGGCATGCATGAAGGCTAAAACAACAGCAAGGCACCAGCTACATCAATCGGATGGTCACGGAGCCAAAGCATTTTTAGGCAAAACGCGGCGTCGTTTGAGATCTCGTGCAATCAAGTCGGTGCGTACACCTGAGTTGAGAATCTCGGTAGGCCGTGTCTGCGCTGCATCGATGCCTCCGGCGCGATGAAGTGCTACAACAGTGTCATCTTCGCGACTCAATACGGGTGACCCGGACGAACCAGGTTTCGTGTCCGCATTATACCAAACTGTTGGCTGGACGTCGTTCGATTCACTGCTCTGGCGGTAATACGCAGGGTAGTCCACCGAGCTAGTTGGCACCACCTCGATCTCCGCGGGCTGTCCATCTTTCACTGCCGCAATCTCCTTCGGCTCTCCATGCGGATGTTGTGGGATGTAAATGTCTTCACCATCCACTGGACCCGTTGAACGTAGACGTAAGTATCCGTATCGCTGCGATAAGTCCGTTGATGAATCGTTGGTTAGAACACGCACCAGAGCGTAGTCCAGCTCTGGGTTTTCGGCAACTACCAAAACCCGCGTGGCCTCTACGACGCCAACTTTTTCTCCTTTGAACCCTGGATCATGACAACATCTAGTCTCGGCCATGAATCCCACAATTGTCTCCATGACACGCTTGGTCTTGTCCGTTCTTGAAGTCACATTGCGCCATAATCGAGTAGCAGCATCGGACAGGGACTCATCACTGTCAGCTATCCTTTTCCCGCGAGACCGGGCACGACTACGATCTCGATTGACAACCGCCGCTCCTTCCATACAGTGATGATTCGTGAGCAAGTAATTGCCTTCGCCGACGAGCCAACCCGTACAAAACATCCAGCTCGACACTTGCTCTGAAGCATCTGAAGCTTGGCCATACTCACTTCGAATCATCAGCCGCGCTACTGCCCGGGCTTTCTCATACATTTTGGGCTCTGTTTTTCGATAGCATACGGCCTCTTCCGATTCGTCAGTGACTCCGACTGTGCTCTCTGCATCAACGTCCACAATGGCACGACCAGCCTTGCGGTTGTACATGACGTAGGCATATGAGTCCAGGACTATGACGGGTACGTCACGCTGACTTTCAACCATTGGAAGGATAAGCATAGGAATACTCGGAACGTACTCGACCACCACAGCATTCCCTTCGATCAAGAGCGGATGCGTTCGCAGTAGCAGTGTCTGTGGCAACTTGTTCGACTCTAGATTTTCAGCCAGGAGACTCGCATTTGTTGTGGTTATAGTGATGGACGAGTCATTGTTTGGGTCGCGCACTATAATCTTGTCACCCCAGAGCAAATTGATGTCCTTCAAGTTCACAGCAATGAAAGCGGCTCCAGGCTGGACGATATAGAGCGTCTGTGAGGACTGCTCCTTGCTCCGAAACAGGCTCCAACGATCGTGAGCAACCGGGTGTAAGACGACAACAGCATCCGCATTTTGCAAATTGTTCGGCACATCACCCAATTGACGCCGACACAAGCTTCTGTTCACCAATACGCGCACCGGAAGCGACAACAGTGACAGCACCAGTACCCAAACCGACACCATTCGACAGGACATTGCCACAGGAATCGGAGAAATGATAAGTGCACTTCAAGGTCTTCTATCTTCCTCTGAGTCACGGTTGGGTTGTTTCTCTTCACGTTGGGACAGGGAAGACTTTTGCTAACTGTCATTTGAAGGATTGAGCTTACATATGTGGCAAAATATGGAGTTGATTTGTGGTTAGGAATGGATGACTCGATACGAATTCATTTGTCGGTAAAACGACGGTTGCTATGGGGTTGCTATCATGAAGATGCGTTGCCATAGCATTTGAGGTAAACCGTTAGAAATCACGACGCGACTCTGGTATCTGTGCAGCGTATCGCTGTCCCATTAAGTTCTCAAGCTTTACGCTCTTAGCTATGTAAGGGACGGCTCTGCAGACTCTTACACCTCACCGTAACAATGGTATCGTACGTACACGCTACAACTCAAGACCGCGATTAAGATGCCTGCAAGGGAGGACAATTACAATGTACGAAATTGATATCGGGTAATTCCTAGTGTAAACAGGTTGGTCGTGGCGATCGACTAAAAGGAGCAGTCCAAGCCTTATCGGAAATTGGTATGAGCCGCAATAACTAAACTATCCCTGGATAATTTTGACTTTCGAGTTTCTACTTGGTCATAAAACGAGCTTCAAGACGCCGTTTATCTCACTGAACTGAACTTTACACAAGACGTGCCTTGCAATCCCAATAAAACGCTCCAATCTCAAAGTGCCTGTAAATTCATCCACGCGATTATTCAATCCGATCTTTGCTACTTTATCTCTTGTGAAGCCTCGTTTGCCCTTAGCAGTCCACATCTTATCGGAATCAAGCGCAATGCGTCCACACTCACTCAATGCCCGTCTCGACTTCCGACAACTGTAACGGGGTGAATCGTTACATAACAATTTATAAGAAATTGTTAATAGAATATAACTATAAGAGTTATATTCTCAGAATATTGTCATAAGGACAAATATTCTGTTGCACTTACAAGTAGTTCCTAATTGGTTGATATAGGCCATTATATCAACCAACGAAGACGCGCCACGACAGACGCACGCAATGAGTGGTGAGCAGATAATTGATTTACACATTTGTATTTAGACATAGTTAGATGAAGATAAATAGTGATTTATTGCAGACATTAACTATACTAAATACAGTTCTACTTTTTACTCTAACCAAGTACTCGCTTCTTCTTACCGTCTTCCTCTGCACGTACGAGTGTACGTGAAGTTACGAGGCACCGCCTTATTCTGTCATCAGAATAAGTAGCTTGTACTGTCACCAGTACAAACTTCAGGGTACCCCGTTACACCCTGGTAGCACTTTGTAGTCCGTCCAAGGACCACGTTCACATCTAACATGAATATGTTGGATGATGAAGATGACCAAAGCTTTCACGCTACGCGTGACGGCTACTCCCATTTGAGCAATGTCGAATGGGATGCGGTTGAACGAATGGGTTCGACCATGGGCATCCATGCTGTTAGCGTCATGCTAGAGGCTCTCAATAGAGATGCCCAACATGCTACTATCGCCAAGTTCATTCAAAATGAACTTGACGCAGAACGCGAGAAAGTAGCCTTGCTTCACCAACAACGTTCTCAACAAGCAGAGTTGTTGAGAGAACAAGGTGCTCAACAGTTTGAACTGTTGAGACAGCAGCAGGCTGCTGCTGGCGGGTCGATGCACTCGCGTCGACCCGAAACCTTGAAGATTGACATCTCCAAGTATAGGGGGGTCGAAGAAGACTCCCTCTTGAGATGGTTCGTCGAATTGGATGACGCCATAAGGGCGCGTCGCATCGACGATGGGGATATGCAAGTTGCATTTGCCCAGTCAAATCTGGCAGGACGTGCCATGACTTGGGCTCTGGGGATCAAGTTGCACGACCCATATGCGTTTGGGTCGTTGGAAGTCTTCAAGTCGCGGCTCAGACAAACGTTTGAACCGCCTAGAGCTGAGTTCAGGGCTCGAACCGAACTCTTGAAGCTCAAGCAGGGTAAGCGTGATGTGCACGCTTACGCTCAACATATACGACATCTCACGAGTTGTATAAGTTCCAATCCGGTGGATGAACACACGTTGGTTTCGGTGTTCATGCAGGGTCTTGCGGATGGTCCCGTCAAGACTCACCTGTTCCGGCTTGAACTAGATTCACTAGAACAAGCCATTTCGATTGCGGAGCAGGAAGACTTCAGTCTGAGACAGGCTCGCGCCAGCTCGACATCATATCGTACACCGAGACGATATGACAACGGAGGTCCAGAGCCGATGGAACTCTGTTATGTAGAGAGCGAGAAGGCTCGCTCTACAGGCTACAAGAAGTTGCAGAGATGCAACAGATGTCAAAAGACAGGACACTACGCTTACGAGTGTAGTGCCCCTCGTCCAGTGTCTCGCGACACTGGGCGTAGTGACCGTCCACCCATGAGAAAGGGGCAGGGACGAGGGTCCGCAGTTGGTGCAAAGACGCAACAACGGGATGGACCGTCAAAAAACGGACAGGATCAGTAGGTGCGGAGCACCCTACTGGTCTAGCAACGTCAAGAGAATTTGTAGGCCTCTTGATGAAGGTTGCTCCCAACACACAAACGTTGTGCGTTGCTGCTCTAGGTAATGAGGTCTCACTCATTACCTTGAAACTCGAAGTGACGAATAAGTTGTCCCTTCGAGCTCTAGTCGATTGTGGGGCGTCCAACAATTTTGTGCGACGCCAATCGCTAGAAGATGGTCACTTTAAATTCAGTGAATGTGACACACCTCCTACGAGGATGAAGGTACGTCTTGCGACAGGCGCATCCGTAACCGTCATGAAGCGTATAGTGAAGATCCACTATACGCTAGAAGATACCCAATATGACGATGACTTCATCGTATTGGATTTGGATGACAAATTTGATGTCATCCTTGGAATACCGTGGCTCAGAAGGTACGAACCACGGGTAAATTGGCAACATCGAAAAGTAACGATGCCTGCCGCTTGTTCATCAGATGGCCATCTGATGAACGTTTTGGAGCGTCCACAAGCGTGTGGATGTACTACGACTGAGTGCGATGGCCTCACTTGTGGTACGGTCGTTAGTACGACTGCACAAAACCTTAGTGTACCAAACGGTTACACTTCGGAGCAAAGTTCCGGCGGCTGTGAGGAAACACAGGCTGCGCCGAAGGTCCACCACTCGAATAAGTCGGGTGGACTGGGACAAAGATGTATCCCTAGCGGGGAACATCTAGAAGAGAAACAATCGATCGCTCAGGTTAAGCGAAACGATAATCCTAGATCGACTGGAGAGTCTTTCGTAGAGGATCTCGCTGTGGTTGCGCAACCCCAGCTAGAGGAAGTAAAGGGAATAAGTCCCAAGATTACAAATACGGCGGAAATAAGTTCCCCGAAACCCGCGGGAATAAGTCCCCGGGAAGACGAAGGAATAAGTCCTTCGAATCCTGAGGGAATAAGTCCCCAGGAAATGACAGAGACATTGAATGTCATAGTCAATAACGGATCATGTGTAGGCGCTTATACACTTGATCTGATTGCGCCTCCGAAGTTAACTTCGGAGATCACTCAGTTGCCAACGCTCGAACATAAAAGGTTCTTGCGTGATCTGCGTAGTGGCAAAGTCAAGCAGATCTGCATACTCGTCGCTGACGACGAGTGTGTAACCGACATAAGGTCAGCAACAGTGTTCACTGAGAACGAGAGAGTTCTCAGTAGTTCATCTATGGACGAGAGTGTCCTAGATGAAAAGACACGAATTGAGCGATATGACTCCCAATCATGGGAATCGCTCAAGACAAATCCTCTCTATGAAGATTTGGTTGAATTCAAGGATGTATTCCCTGAAACTGTTCCGTGCGAATTACCGAAGGATAAAGGTATTCGACACGAGGTCGAGCTTAAACCAGGCTCGAAGTACTGTGTCATGAAGCAGTGGCCACTGCCTCGTGAACAAGTACTTGCGATCGACAAGTTCTTTGCCGATCGTTTAGCTGCGGGCCATGTGAGGGAATCAACTTCCCCACATAGCTCTCCGACCTTCTGTGTGCGAAAAGCAACAGGAGGGTGGCGGATAGTGCACGCGTTCAACAAATTGAACGCTGCAACGGTACCGGCTCAGACGCTGATACCGAGGAAGGACGTAATCATTGATGGTATGTCAAAGAGTACCATCTTTTCGTCCATGGATTTGATGGATGGCTTCTATCAAATCCTTATGCGAGAACGGGATATACCCTATACCGCAGTTAGCACGCCTAGCGGCATGCTCTGGGAATGGCTAGTAATGCCACAAGGGCTCAGTAATGCCCCTGCCACGTTCAACAGATGTGTATCACATCTGTTGAGACCAGTACGAGAATTCGCGCCGAGTTATTTCGATGACGTATTCATCCATAGTCGAGCTATGGATGGAAAGCCGGACGTTGAGGTTCACAGGTACCACGTCCGACAAGTTCTTACAATCATGCGAAAGCATCAATTGTATGCTAACCTCAAGAAGTGTATATTTGCAGCAAGCGAAATACCACTTCTTGGGTGCATCGTTGGTAAGAACGGTGTACGTCCTGATCCCGAAAAGATCAAGGCGATCACCGACTGGCCTGTGCCGGTTGATGTCAAAGGTCTTCGAAAATTCCTTGGGTTAGCGGCGTATTTGCATAAGTATTCACGAAATTACGCCGAGATGACTGTGCACCTCTCTCGTTTGTTGAAAAAGAACGAGAGGTTGTTATGGAACGCTGAATGTCAACGCTCCTTTGAGGGTATCAAGCAGAGCTTGATACAATCCCCAGTCCTAGCAATAGCCGATCAGGACAGGCCATTTCATGTGGTCTGTGATGCCAGCGATTTCGCAATCGGCTGTGCGTTAATGCAGTACGATCTTGAAGGCGTTGAACGCGTCGTCTGCTATCAGTCGCGTCAGCTGCAACCAGCTGAGCGGAACTATCCAGTGCATGACAAGGAACTCCTTGCCATGAAGTATGCACTCGCGAAGTTCAGAGTCTATCTATTAGGAGATAGACCCTTCGTTGTTTACACTGACCATGCGTCATTACGTACGGCAGTGAACAGCCCGCACGTTTCACAACGAATGGCGCGGTGGTTGTCATTCTTTGCGGAATACAACTTTACGGTCGAGTACAAACCAGGACGACTTAATGTCGTCGCTGATGCACTCTCACGTCGTCCCGACTTTGAAACAGTCGCGAAACCCAACAGTGAGACAGTCACTGTTGCGGTTATGACGTCCTCAGTCCCATTTACAACGTTGTATGATGATGTGAGGCGGGCATACGCCCAAGATGGTGAGATTGTGAAGTTGTTGACACATCTCTCCCAACCATCCCGAGAATCGTTGAAACGATTGTCGCCTGCGTATCGATCTGCATCAGATCGATACACTACTCGTAACGGTTTACTGTATTATACAGCCGTTTCTGGTGACACACCACGTGTTGTCATTCCAGGTGGTACTGATCTGCGTTTGCGGATCATGTTCGAGTATCATGATGCTCCTATAGGAGGACATCGTGGCCGAGAGAAAACATATCTCACGGTAAGTCGAGACTTTTACTGGCCCCGCCAGTATCAGTTTGTGCGAAAGTATGTTCGCGCATGCGAAGTCTGTCAACGAGTGAAGTCAAGTCCTTCACTGCGTGCACCTTTACAGCCTCTACCGGTTCCGGCTGAGTGCTGGGAATCCATCTCAATGGATTTCGTCTTCGGGTTACCCAAAGACGCACGCGGGAATACGGGTATTCTCGTATTTGTTGACAGATTCAGCAAAATGGTACACCTTGTGGCTGTACCAGAGACAATCACGGCAAGTGGCTGTGCTTTTGTCTTTATTGACACCATCTTCCGACTTCATGGGTTGCCCCGTGAACTCGTAACAGACAGTGATCCACGATTCACTGCTGATTTCTGGCGTTCCGTGTTCAAATTACTCGGAACGCGCTTGAAGATGTCGACATCCGATCATCCAGAGTCAGATGGTCAGACGGAACGTGCCAATCGTGTCCTTGAAGAGATACTTCGAGGATACGTACACTCCTTTAAGAGTTGGAGTGAGTTTTTGCCAATGGTAGAGTTTGCCATCAGCAACTCGGTGCATGCGTCCACGACACATACACCGTTTTACGTGAATGGCTTGCGCCATCCGCGTGTACCCACCTTACTAGAGTGTAACTCTGGTTTAAGGGGGGGAGGGACTCGCGCGAGCAAAAACCGAATTGGTTCACGCTCATCACGCTCTGACGAAGAAGTCATTGCGTTTGATGCCGATATCGATAACATCGATATCGAAGAAGATGATGCCAGTGAGAGTGCGGAAGCCCTCACTGAAGAAGATGATCCCAGTGAGAGTGCGGAAGCCCTCACTGAAGAAAAGGTTGATGTTGCTGCAGTGCGCTCACAGCACACTGAAGCTAACGAGTCATCAGATGAGTTCATACTGGCTCGTGAAACGGTAGTCCGTTTTGTGCAAGACTCCATCGCCGAAGCGGTGGATAAGCAAAAGCAAAACGCTGACAAGAATGGAAGGGCAAACACTCTTTTATTTAATGAAGGTGACTTAGTCCTACTGTCTACGGTTAATCTACCAAAGCATGTAGTGATTAACTTGGGTAGCAGTAAACTACTACCCAAGTACATTGGCCCATTTCGTGTATTGCACCGCCTAGGCAATGCATACACGATCGAGTTACCACGTAAGATGCGAACGCATCCCACGTTTTACGTTGGTCGGCTTAAGCCGTACCATCAGTACGCTGCTTCTTCCGATGAAGAACGCCCTTGCGCTCAAGCATCTCGCAGAGAGCCTTGTGCTCCCGATGGTGGGCATCAACAAGGGTCTGAAGAGCAGCTATCTCATCCCGAGACCGATCAGCAATCCCACGAGCTACCCTTAGCTCGTCACGAAGAGATGTCAGAGATCTCTCGTTCTCAAGCTGAGCAAAGGCAAACTCATCTCGATGCTTCGAGGCAGTGTCCGCCATTTGGAGACGCCTATTCCGCTCATGCTCGAGATCGTCGCGTAACCCTTGCGTTACGCGATCAAAGAAGCTCTCGGGAACACACCGATCCACATGATCGTGTGGAGAGCGTCTTTCCTCCTCCTCCACCTCCATTAGAGGACTCTCGCGGTGGCCAGCGCTATCTGATTGAGCAGCTGTTGAACCACCGCGACGCGAACGGACGTCGGACGAGTTATCTCGTCCGGTGGCGCGGCTATCCCCCGTCCTGGGATTCTTGGGAGCCCCGCTCCCAACTGATGATCGACGTACTGGGTCTGGTTGAGCAGTACGACGCGGCACATCCTGTGCCGCAGAAGGACCGCTGGAGAAAGTCTTCCCGGCACGGTCGTAAAGGGATTTCAGGTTGTCAATCCCTTCGTACATCTCAGTAGAGACACGTACGCGCCACCACGGGCTGGTAAGGAGGTAAGCCTCCTTAGGTGCTCGTGCAGAGTTGTTCACACAACATGGGCACGAGTCTCCCCAAGAGAGGCAGGGTAATCCTTTCTCCCTTGACAGACGATGCAGCTTGTAGCGTGCACCTGTCGGGGTTCGCTTTTCAAACTTATCACGAGCTTTGATAAGTTTGTCGTTCCAAGCGTCACGACCTACATCCTCGAGATTATGGATATAGGCGTTCCACGCCTGAAGTAGTGAGGGACCATCACGTTTGTGATTCCCACTGTACCATCGATGTCTAAAGAAAGCATCGATGAAGAATTCATGTTCAGCGCGATAGTTTTTCGCGCTGGGGTCAAGGTGATGGATCCTTGACGAATCGAACAATCGTGTTCGATAACGATCACTCGTCGTCGCCGACAAGTGATCCATGACTGATTTAGGAGGCATCCATGCCTTCTTCTCAGGAGCGAGACGCAACACATTGCGGTCCCGCTCTTCCTGCGACGTGCCGACAGAAGTACTGGCACCTCGCTGTGAAGTGGTGTCCATTGGAGAAACGACACCACTATTAGCGCCCGAGTCTCGCGACCTCGAGCGCCTTCGCTTCGGCGATGGTTCATCTGATTCATCAGATGAACCAAAGATGCTGCGACGCAAAGCATCGTCCATGCCACGCTTGGCAGGCGGCTTAGATTCAATCGCCGTCGATACGGTTCCGTCATCCGTATCAGGAGAGTACGAGACACCGAGCTCGTACTATGTGAAGACATGAGTGTCTTCATGACCAGCGCCTGCATCACCAAGTGACACAGGCTGGGTCGCTTCAGCAACCGATGATACATCAGTTGCTGTTGTTTATGCTTCGGCGTCCGCACAGAGACGTGCAGACGCGCTCTCGGCGGCCTCGTTCGCGCATCGCATGGGCTTGTTTACCATTCGATGAGATGTTGGAAAATGGACGCGGACCAACAAGTGCAAACCCTGTCCCAAATGATTTGGGACGAGTATCCATTTAGTCAATCAGTCACTAAAGTGACTGATGCTTAAGGGGGGGTGATATAACGGGGTGAATCGTTACATAACAATTTATAAGAAATTGTTAATAGAATATAACTATAAGAGTTATATTCTCAGAATATTGTCATAAGGACAAATATTCTGTAGCACTTACAAGTAGTTCCTAATTGGTTGATATAGGCCATTATATCAACCAACGAAGACGCGCCACGACAGACGCACGCAATGAGTGGTGAGCAGATAGTTGATTTACACATTTGTATTTAGACATAGTTAGATGAAGATAAATAGTGATTTATTGCAGACATTAACTATACTAAATACAGTTCTACTTTTTACTCTAACCGAGTACTCGCTTCTTCTTACCGTCTTCCTCTGCACGTACGAGTGTACGTGAAGTTACGAGGCACCGCCTTATTCTGTCATCAGAATAAGTAGCTTGTACTGTCACCAGTACAAGCTTCAGGGTGCCCCGTTACAACGCATTTGTATTTAGACATAGTTAGATGAAGATAAATAGTGATTTATTGCAGACATTAACTATTATAAATACAGTTCTACTTTTTACTCTAACCAAGTACTCGCTTCTTCTTACCGTCTTCCTCTGCACGTACCAGTGTACGTGAAGTTACGAGGCACCGCCTTATTCTGTCATCAGAATAAGTAGCTTGTACTGTCACCAGTACAAGCTTCAGGGTGCCCCGTTACAACAACAGCTTATTAGGTCCGCGTACTTCTGATCTTCCACTGGCGTTGATGTGAGTGCGTGGAGCTACAGTATTAAGACGCTTACCACCATCCGGAATCCGACTCTTCACCAACTGGGGCGTCGCTTAGTGTGCACAAGAGCAAAAGAAGCATCAGAATACGGAGCAAAACCGTCGAGTAGGTGCATCATTGAAGCGGTGTCTACTCCTCGTCGCTAGATAACCAAGTCGAACGCATAGGCATTCGTAGGTTCAACGAAACACAGCTGATCGAGCTAAAGTAGACGATTTCGGCGCGGGTCGTCTCAAATGTGCAATGTGTTGGACAACGTCAAGTTGGACACTAGGGTCGTCTACCGCAAGTTGTCGACCTGGTCAACTTACTAATGCCCTCACGAAAGTGCACGTGAAAAACCAGGACCAGCAAAGAGCTTCCCGTGCTCTGGGTTGTGCATGCTTGACTATGCCATGAGAAGAAGCGCGTGGCAATCGTCCAGCAGTTTTCGTTTAACTGCGACCGGACGAGTCAGTCTGAGTTCAGTCGAAATCAGGCAAAAAAAGATCCCCGAAAGAAAAATCCTGGGCGGACGCTCGTTAATTTAGACCAGTGAGCGGGAGGCGTTACGTTCGGCCGAAGCCCATTAGCAAAATCGCTTGCGAGACGAAGAGTCGAAGCGCGATTTAACCCAAACAAGAAGAGAGGGGACGCGATGGGCTGCTGCTTGTCGAGAGAGGACGACCATAGCGGTGGTGAAGTGCTGCTGCCCAAGGGCCGGACCAGTAACAAGCGAGTGTACGTGCATGTGTCTGCGGGTGCTTAAATGACGCAGCGAACAACCCGTAGACTCATCTCGATATCCCTCGGTCGTTCGCTGATTAATTGCTATAGGGACAATTCAATTGACGTGGACCCCGTGAAGAAAGAAGGCAGTGCGAGCGGCAGCTACAAATCACCGTCGGCTGTCGTTGCAGCTGCTGACGTGAACACGAAAGTGCCTACCAAGCCACAGCCAGTCAAAAAGCCGGTGGAGAACGTCGACTTGCTCGGACTTGATGACGAGGCGCCGACGCCACTGAGGGCGGAAACTCCTGCTGTGAGGCCACATAAGTTAGCGTCGAAAACGACGCCGCTGCCCAGAGAGGCTACGGTATCTTCCAAGACGTCGTCAAAGACGCCCGTGGAGGCAGATGAGGACAATGTGATGGCGTCAGCGCTCACGTCTGTGGCTGTCAAGACAGAAAATGTGGACAAAGTCAAGGGGAATGATCGTGATCAAGACATTGTAAACGACCGAGCGGGCAATACTGGGGGCAAAAACGATGAAGCAAAGGACACGCTCAATGAGCCAAAACCGAAGAAGATCTCATCTACGAAAAAGTCCAAGAAGAAACGAAAGGTGCGTTCTCCGTGTGACAGCAATTGCAGCTGATTGCTGCTGCAACCACAAAGCTCCAACTTGTCACTAACGTGCGTGTGGTGTTGCAGAAAAGCAAAAAGTAGACGCCGTCGCTACATTAATCGTCAGCCATCACCATTGCGGCTTCTTATTTGCAACGCAGGTACTCGGATACCCTCAGTTGGTCGTCCAATGCTTAAAAGTTGAGAGAAAGCGACGTTTACGGTCTCGCCCTCCTGCTGCTCTTGCGAGCATAACAAAGCGCGAGTTTAGCCGAGTGACAACCGTAAGCGCTTTTTCCGCTTTTGCAAAAAGATTCCGTCCTCTTCGTGGGTCATTCCAGTTGTGTCAACCAGGGTGCTATGTGTCGATACTGCAGGAGGGATACCGCGCTTTACGGTTTCAGCGTACTGCCTCTCGGCCATTTGCATCAAGTCGCTGGCAATCTCGCCCAATTCTTTGTTGTCTCGTTGCAGCCCTTCCTTCTCATGCCGCAACGATGAAAGCTCCTCGAGCTGAGCACTGAGCTGGCTGCGAAGCTGAGCGTTCGCCTGTTGCACTTGCTCTTCCTTGCGCTGGAGCTCTGCGTTTTCAATCTCAAGCCGTGCGACCTTATCCTGCAGTTGGTATTCTCCTGAAACGACGTGATGTGCAGATTGTGACACTTGCGGCGCATTGTCACGCAGCGCCTTGAGCTCCTTCTGATGCTCATGCACTTGCTCTCGAGCCATATTCTCTGTACGTCGGGCAATCGCCAGCTCCTCACGACACATTGCAATTTCTTGCTCATGCTTCTCGATCAGCTCTCGTTGTGCATGCTCTACGGACACTGCTCGCTGCTGATCTTTGATGGTATAGCGCTGTTGCAGGTGCGCGACGGACTGAGCTAGCACCGTCTCTGTCTTTTGATAATTGGCAACCTGCACGTCGAGTTTCTCTACTCGATCTTGGGCCAGCAGCAGCTCTTGTCGTTGCTTCCCGTACTCCTGTTGCATCTTCTGCCGTGCCGCTTTCTCGACGTCCAGCGTCGCCAAGAGCTTCTCCAGTTGCAGATCCTCGCGCGTGCCGCACAGCGTCTGTTTATTTTCCTGCAACAACGCATCAAGTCGCTTTTGAAGCGATGCGCACTGAGCCACAAGCTTCTCTCGCTCCCGAGCACAGTCCAAGACTTCGTAGCGCCGCTCGACGAGTTCCTTGCGAACAGCCAACAGCTCGGCGTCCATGGCCAGCTTCACCTCGTACTTGGCCTGCGCTATCTTGGCCTTGAGCTGAGCCGCAGAGAATCGCACCACGAAATCGTCATCACTCTCTCCACGTGCAGAAACAGCGCTGCTTGGACACAAAGACGTCTCCAAGTGCTTCTTCGGAGCCTCATGACATATTGTACCCATGTCGTCGTCATTGCACTCTGCAGCGCCTTCGACAGCTTCTACATCTCCGTTTGCCCCCATCGACACATCATCAGAAAGGACAGCGTGTCCTCCATTTCCTCCAAGCACTTGTTGAACCATCCGTATCCCGTGGCCAGCGTCCGCGCCGCGTCAATCGCGCTCGATCGGCTTCAATTGTCTTTCCTCCGTCTGTCCTGACAAAAATCAATTCGTGATGACGAAAAGCAGTACCACAATTATGGTACATTCACCATGTACCAGTCGCTCGCCCATGACCAGCAGCTGTTTCCGTCCCCCACGCTGCGCATGGGCTTTAGGAGCGACCTCCTGCCCTTCCTGACCGTCGGAAACGTCGTCTCCATCTCCGAAGGTCGAGGTTCTCTCTGCGTGCCACCTACGGCCTCGAAAAGAGCGTCTTCTGACTGCGTTTCAACGACGACTTTGCTCATGTTCCGAGGCATTGGAGCCGGAGTCGCCTGGACGATTGGGGTAGATGGCTACGCACTAGCGAACAAAACCAGTGCAGAGTGGCAGCAGCAAGTAGCTGCTCATCCAGTGTCTAGCGTATCGCGCGAAGTTGCCAAGTCACTAGCGCGGCTCAGTGTCCGCAACATGCTGGGCTTTGCCACTTTCTTGGGCATCTTCAGCGGTGTGAGCTGTGCACTGGAAAAAGGTCGAGGGAAGAGTGACTTGCTCAATCCATTTGTAGGGGGATGTACAGCTGGCACGGTCATTCTGCCCAGAGAGCTGCGGAATCCACGTACTCTTCTGACTGCAGCCATTCTGTGCGGATCAGCTTCTGTGGCGCTGCATTACTTTATCCCGAGTGGAGACAAGAAGAACGAGAGTGTTGTAATCGAGACGCGATAGTCACGACTTTATCGATGCAAACGCATGCAGACCGGGTGCTGCAGATGTCAACGGATACGATATACAGTACCGATCGCTCTCACGCTGCTGAAAAAAATGAACTGAACATTCAAGTTGACTAATAGAAGATGGGTGTGTCGGTTGTGAATGCTAAAATCGTGCTGACGCTTCCTTGTGTATGCATGTGAGAAGTGAAGGGCATGGGAACACAGTGGATTATGGAGGAACGGAAATTGAACATAGACGAAAAGTTGTAGTCCATTTGCTGCAAGAGGATGCAGCAAACGATGGATAAAGAGGGACCGCGAGTCGAACTTTTGGCACGTTCTTTTACCATTTAGTTGCTACGAGTGCCATCGGCAGAGGCCGTACTAGTTTTGTGCTGTCAATCGCCATTGCCGCCTCCGTCACTTTTTATCGCATTAGTAACGTTCATAATGTACTATCCAGCTACGTGGCTTGTACCTTTCTTGCCATCTTCTCAGCCAGGATGTCGCTACTATAACGACACTAATCCAGGACGTTAGTGACCATGCGTATCACGCCTTCCAAGGGAAAATCCTGGTGTAGCTTGTGGTTCTTCGAGCCTTTTCCGACTCGAGATCCGTCCGTTGAGCTTCTGACGGGAAAGATTATTAACGGTCGTCGCGCGAGTACGATAGAAACAATTCCAGCAAACCACAAGTGTGACAATACACGCGATATTGTCGAGATAATTGGGATTGGGGTTAAGTTACTCTCCATTTGTTGCGTTCCCGAGGGGTTCGTGAAGCTCTTGAATATCACTTTTATCGATTGCATGATCATTTCACCTTTCACGTTGGTCTTCTTGAGAAGATTTTGATCGCGCTGTGCTAGTGCTAATATCTGGTGCTCGCCTTTTTGTGAATAATCCAGCCCTGGGAAAGCAACGAGTTCTGATTATCCACGAGCCCATTCAGACAGTTGGAGTTGGCGGTTTGAGAAATTGGTTGAAAGTTAGTAGATGCTATGTCCAGTGTTGGTTTATTGTAACAAAAGATAAGAGAGCACAGCGGCTAATTACGCCTGCACAACAACCACAACTACTACAACAACAACACAGTGCGACTGACGACTCAGCCTAGCTAAAACGAAACGATAATTTGGGATTTCCCTCTGTTTTTACGCGAGGAGCGTCACCGATAAGTCTCTTACTTTCTGTTTTTTTCAGCTTTCGAAGATGACAAGTTTAAGACGCAAGTCGTTGCCTTGTATTCCGTGATGCGAGGTGCTGATGGATATCGCACCCGTCCTACCAAACGGGTTTACCTAAGAATAAGCGTTTGAATATTTGATCGATGAAGGAGGATGTACGAAGGGGGTACAAGGCATACCTCGTGGCTATTTGTCTTCGACAAAAGTTACAGCATCAAAAAGTGACGTAACAATTTTATATATGGAAGTAGTTGCCTACCCGTGGTCAATTCGTACACGCATTACATTAATTTCGCTGGTGGTTGCATTTCAAGTGACTCCTTTACTAATTTGACATGATGATTGCGTTCCTATTTATTTACAGCATCGTTTAGCGATTATCTATGTCACCTAGTATATTAAAATTATTGCAAAAACTGGGTCTAGTTCCAATCTCCCACGCGACACATGGTATTATTGCAGGTAAGTACATGATTCACCATGATAACGATTCGTCAAGATCTTCTCGACACAATGCCTCTTATTTGGATGCATCTTGACGGATCTACAGGGCCTCGGTTCTTGGCACATGCCCAAATGCCTAACGTATAGCTGATCGAAGATTTCGTGCAATTAAGACATATGGCTGTTTACCGGGGTTGCTCAATTCAAATTTCCCGAAAGTCTCAGTGTGTACACGAACAATTAAATAAACAGCATGCTCTGATTTCAAACAACGCCACCAAAACGTCGAGTAGAGGACGTTTCTTCATCCGAAGCTATACTGGGAATGCTGTACAAAACGTAAATGCTAGATACAGCCTTTACACAATTTTATTTGAGATGCAGACCGATAAATAATCATACCATTTACTCAATTCTACATCACACTATCTTAAGATTTTAAGCGATTTTTTTCGCACAGCATTTTCTTCGTCCTAGAAGAATCAAATTTGGTTGTTAGATCATAAGCTGTTTCCTTATGACAAGTGGCAAAGTTGTAAGTGATGACCTAAGGTTATGAGTTATGTCACATTACTGTAACTCACCAAATTTCTGTAGTTTAAAGCCCACACTTAGCACGTAGCTTTACCATAGACGATAAATAAGTGTAGTTATACACTTGTAAATCGTCTTGTGTTTGTTATGCATCATCTTTTTCAACGACATATACGTGATGCTTTTTATTTTCTTGCAAGGCATAAACAGCATACGCGGCTATGGACATAATCCAGCACTATTTCCTGGGTGCATCCATAGTATCAGTCAACTACAAACATATTCAGAGATTTTCCTTATCAGCTGCTGTAAGTCTTTATTTAAATCGACGATTAAGCATTGTAGAACGCAAAATGAGCTCATTATTACTTGAAATCTGCATGTGTTAACTTTTATGTACAGCCGCGGACGCTAGACAAGAGACGTCCAACGATTCATACTTAAGTTAGTTAGCGGCGTATCATTTCTAAGCCATGTAAATCGCTCCCGTTTCCGTTCTGTTAAGTCCAATGACGTAATCGGAGTTATCAGAGATCAACAATTTGGCTGCTCTGCTTGGTGTAAAATCAATCCGGTGCTAAGTGTTTTAGGTGGTATCCTGGCAAAAGGGAACATCTCATCCTTATAATAAGTTTTGATTTTCGATCCATTCCTATAATAATCAATAGAGAGTTTCAAGAGTGAAACACCATTGTTCATCACACATTGTCGTAATATAGTTGGCATCAGAATTTGTTGGTCTACACATGACAATCAATTGAGGGGGCAAGGGAGAGACTGTCGTGTCAATCAAGTGCTGTGTCGACCATTTTTGATTTACCATAAAAAGGAATGATACCTATTTCTTTTAACAACATTAAATGTAGAGTTCTTCTTGGCTCCAAAGGCTCACGCTTCGTATTTAAGATCAATCTCGATCACAACTTAACATGTGCTATTCCGCTAAAGACATGGACTGTATACCACTTATTTTAGTAAATTTGAAGACGAAAAAGACGGTTTCACCAATGGCCTGAATGACTGGTTCAAAGTCGGGCCGACGTGAGAGTGCATCAGCGACGACCTTAAGTCGTCCTGGTTTGTACTCGACCGTAAAGTTGTATTCCGCAAAGAATGACAACCACCGCGCCATTCGTTGTGAAAGGTGCGGACTGTTTACTGCCGTGCGTAATTACGCATGGTCAGTGTAAACAACGAAGGGTCTATCTCCTAATAGATAGACTCTGAACTTCGCGAGTGCATACTTCATGGCAAGGAGTTCCTTGTCATGCACTGGATAGTTCCGCTCAGCTGGTTGCAGCTGACGCGACTGATAGCAGACGACGCGTTCAACGCCTTCAAGATCGTACTGCATTAATGCACAGCCGATTGCGAAATCGCTGGCATCACAGACCACATGAAATGGCCTGTCCTGATCGGCAATTGCTAGGACTGGGGATTGTATCAGGCTCGGATTGATACCCTCAAAGGAGCGCTGACATTCAGCGTTCCATAACAACCTCTCGTTCTTTTTCAACAAACGAGAGAGGTGCACAGTCATCTCGGCGTAAATGCGTGAATACTTATGCAAATACGCCGCTAGCCCAAGGAATTTTCGAAGACCTTTGACATCAACTGGCACAGGCCAGTCGGTGATTGCCTTGATCTTTTCGGGATCAGGACGTACACCGTTCTTACCAACGATGCACCCAAGAAGTGGTATTTTGCTTGCTGCAAATATACACTTCTTGAGATTTGCATACAATTGATGCTTTCGCATGATTGTAAGAACCTGTCGGACATGGTATCTGTGAACCTCAACGTCCGACTTTCCATCCATAGCCCAACTATGGATGAATACGTCATCGAAATAACTCGGCGCGAATTCTCGTACTGGTCTCAACAGATGTGATACACATTTGTTGAACGTGGCAGGGGCATTACTGAGCCCTTGTGGCATTACTAGCCATTCCCAGAGCATGCCGCTAGGCGTGCTCATTGCGGTATAGGGTATGTCCAGTTCTCGCATAAGGATTTGATAGAAGCCATCCATCAAATCCATGGACAAAAAGATGGTACTCTTTGACATACCATCAATGATTACGTCCTTCCTTGGTATCAGCGTCTGAGCCGGTACCGTTGCAGCATTCAACTTGTTGAATGCATGCACAATACGCCACCCTTCTGTTGCTATTCACACACAGAAGGTCAGAGAGCTATGTGGGGAAGTTGATTCCCTCACATGGCCCGCAGCTAAACGATCGGCAAAGAACTTGTCGATCGCAAGTACTTGTTCACGAGGCAGTGGCCACTGCTTCATGACACAGTACATCAAGCTTGGTTTAAGCTCGACCTCGTGTCGAATACCTTTATCCTACAGTAATTCGCACGGAACAGTTTCAGGGAATACATCCTTGAATTCAACCAAATCTTCATCGAGAGGATTTGTCTTGAGCGATTCCCACGATTGAGAATCATATCGCTCAACTCGTGTCTTTTCACCGAGGACACTCTCGTCCATAGATGAACTACTGAGAACTCTCTAGTTCTCAGTAAACATTGTTGCTGACCTTATGTCGGTTACACACTCGTCGTCAGCGACGAGTACGCAGATCTGCTTGACTTTGCCACTACGCAGATTACGCAAGAACCTTTTATGTTCGAGCGTTGGCAACTGAGTGATCTCCGAAGTCAACTTCGGAGGCGCAATCAGATCAAGTGTATAAGCGCCTACACTTGATCCGTTATTGACTATGACATTTAATGTCTCTGTCATTTCCTGGGGACTTATTCCCTCAGGCCTCAAAGGACTTATTCCTTCGTCTTCCCGGGGACTTATTCCCGCGGGTTTCGGGGAACTTATTTCC